GTTTATGGTAAAATTTTTAGAAAATGGGCGTGGCACCGCCCACTTATGATCACATATAAGTATATCGGTAACCGTTCTACCAATTTTTACCAAACTCGGTGTGGTTATTGTGCTTGCCACATATAAGCAAAACGTTGAAAATTATTGAAATCGGACTAAAATAACGGCCGCTTTTCATATAACGGTAAATTTCAGAAATGCTTGAAACTTCAATATTTCGAAATTGAAGGACGCTAATTTACTCAAAATTGATACACCCCGGCTTACCATCTAGCGGTAGCTTTCGGAAAGGTGAAAAAATATATATTTAATACTTGCGCCGGGTATTTAATGTTCGGCTCCGTCCGAACTTAGACTTTCTTACTTGTTTCGTTTGTATTTAATGGAACAGTTCTTGATCTTTTTCTAAAAATTTTATTCGAAAAATATGTTAGAGTACTCGTATTATTTCTTTATCTTGAGAAACAACGAAAAACGTTTTGCCGCTCCCTTAAAACCATTGCGCCCGACCGCTTCCCACCAACCCCGAGCTCCGCCACTGGTTCTGTTAACTAAATCTTTTCTACATCAAGAGCATACTCGTATACATAGTAGTTTTACTTTACATACGTACATAACTGAACTATTTACTATTTTTATTTTATTTCTTTTTTGTTTTTGTAGAACATCAAAAACATCTACAGAAACATCAGTAACTTTTTCTTGGTTAGACCAACCTAAACTTTATGAAGTCCGCGCTGTAAATGATGTTGGTGCATCTATAGCTATGAGTACAATTAGTGTTAATGTATCGCAAACATCATACGTACCGAAACGAATCGAACAGTTATTGTATAGTAACGATACACTTGAATTACTATGGATGCATCCTGCTGACTACGATAAAGACCCACCAAGTAATTACACTGTATTTTGGTGTCAACAAAAGTTAGTGTCACTGACAAAGTGTGAGGAAAAAAAAAAAAAAAAAATCTACATACAAAGCCTAATAAATTGTTAATTGCTCACTATTTTTTCCATATAGGGTTCGATGCATTTCGCAGTGGTCAGCAATAATACGACAAAGTTCCATATATCAGTAAGAGAAAAAGAATTCATAATGGCTGTTGCGGCTAATTATCAAAATTCGAGTAGTGGTTTGCATTGGAAAACTTGCTATGATGCAGTATTCGGCAGTTTAGAGACCGTAACGCTCGAAGCTAAAGCTGTATCATCGACAGAAATCGCCTTAAGGTGGCGTTTAGAGGAGACTTGTGTTAATGCTTTTAATGGTTACAATGTAACGTATTGCCCAGTAGAAAGTGAAGGACAGCAGTGTAACGATTCTGAGAACATAACTATTAATTTTGGTGATCCAGGAATTCAAGAAATCACTTTAAAAGGATTGCACACGTATACCTTCTATCGCATCACAATGATCTTATATGCTAAAGACGAACGCAGGGGTCGGCCCAGTGAGTTTATATTTTGCCGTACAATGGATGCAGGTGAGCTTCGGATTAGTACATATATGTATACATAGTATTTTTTCTTCCTAAATTGCGTACACACATATACAGTTGTCCACAAAAGATAGCAGTGCGATATTTTGACCAGTTGTGGCTATAAGTCTTTTGTTTATTTAATGTTTATTTTTTTTTATAAAAGTCTCGCTAGTTATACAACAGACATCATATAAGTAAATATGTAAAATCAGATTTCACACTTTGTACAAAAATAATATAAAAAATCTGCAAATTTTCTCCAAAATTTCAAACTAATTTTTGTAAATTTTTTTTTTTGCTGGCAGTGTCCTCCATATAAATAAAAGAAAATTGTCGAACATACTTTGTATGGAAAAAACTTGAAACACCATAAATTCTCAAAATTTAACGGGATTTTTTAGCGACTTGAAACTTGCACTTTGTTATACTAGAATTAAATGGGCTACAAAACTGCATACCACAATTTATTCTAAAGAATCTGATTAAAAAGTTTAAAATTTTGGTGAAAATTTGCAAAGTTTGGAATCTAAATTTATATGATGTTTGTTGTATAGGCAGCTAGACTTTTATAAAAGATAATAATAAAACATTAAATAAACAAAAGACAAATAGCCAAAACTGGTCAAAATATCGCACTACTATTATTTTGTGGATCACTATATGTACATACATATGTATGTAGATATTTACCTTCATGCATAAATGTTTTCACTATTGCAGCTCCGTATCCACCCACTGGTTTAAGATTTGAAAAAGCTTCCTTAACAAGTAATTCGGTAAATATTTCTTGGGTAGCGCCGAAAGTCACTAATGGGAAAATTACAAAATATACCGTTTGGTAAGTGTGAAATGAAAAATTCGCAACTTTTCATTTATGTAAATTATAATTGCAATTAAATTAGGTATTTAAGGAAAATTAGGGGAAACACTACAAACGACCCAACGCAGACGGATATTCCAATAGGTGACCGAAATGTTACTAAGTTCTCTTATAAGTTGAAAGACCTTAGCAGTTATTCGCCGTATAAAGTGTGGGTAACGGCGTGGACATCAAAGCAATCAAACAGAAGTGAATCGTTGAACATTAATACCTTAATGGGAAGTAAGTGAAATTTCAAACTTTACTAGTGTTAGAGCATTTGCTTGTTTGATTTAGCATCGTTTCCAATGTGGAAAGATGACTCACATTCGGCAGTTAATATACAATTGTCGGTCCTCTGACAATTGAGAGGGCAAAAAAAGAGCGTAAATAAGGTCCTCTCTTTGACAGAAGGTACCAATTTTAGGCCAAAGATTTTTTGCTGGTAAATTCTGGTAAATGTGTCAAACGATCAGCTGTAGTGTGTTTGACAACCAAATTGTAAAGAAAAGAGGAGTGCACTCTGCTAATTAATGTTAAAAGTATTTAATTACTTGTTTATTGTTGATTATAATGAATTTGAAAGAGTTTTCCATTATTTACATGTGTGAGCCGAGTGTGTTTGCATACAAAATAAGCAAAAAGTTTCAAAAAAAAATTTGGAGGTTAGGTGGAAGTTGTCAGAAGTTACCATTTTTTACTAAAAAGCGAACTCGTAATTTTCAGTGTTACTCTCTCGCTCTGAGCGAATTTTTATTTTTTGACAGTTTTACTAGTTTTAGTTGGAGGAGTACGAGATTCTTCGGGTTTAATCTTGCAACTTCTGACAAAGAGAGTACCGATTTTACTCTCCTATTTTTCCCCTTCTTTGCCAGAGAACCGAACACGGAAATAATTTCTGGTAAATTCCTGTAAATTCTTGCATTTTCTTGCGAGTTAGGAAACGGAACTTTTGAATACATATATACACATACATACACATTTTCAAATCTTAATATTTTTTTTTTGTAATTTTTTACTCTTCGACTAGGACCATCGGAACCACTCGATGTGGACCTTGACAGAGATGACGGTTATTATACAGCCAAATGGACAGACCCCGTAATGCCATCAGGGCTTGTAGAGCTATACGAGCTGAAATTCTTTGATGGTGATAAAGTGAAGCTAGCTTATATACAGCGGGGCTCAAAGAAGACACATCGATGTCGCTTTAAATATCCTGGTTGCACGGGTGCATGGCACAAAATGGAGGTGCGCGCTATCAATCTGGTGCCAGAAGATCAATTTGATAATACTACATTTACCGTAGAGCCAAAGACAGTGCAACGAAAACGCCGCCATAGTATGCCTACGATCAGTACCGGAGCAGTATTTCATCAATCACTAACTAATGGTGAGAAAAAGAGCAACATTATAACGCCGTTGCAACAGGATTTTGAATGTGAACTAAAAGATGAAGACATCAAACCGAAAGTTCTTACTATACCTGGCGTAATACCGCTTGAGTCGGCGGCGGCTGGATTATCTCGCAATACATACAAATGTCCGAAGTTTCCCTATGAGATACTGGTGGCTTCATTGATTTTTGTGGGCATGTTTATTGCTACAGTATTTTGGGTAGGCAATGACATTCGACGTCGCGCGAAATGTGCTGTTCTACTTCCTGATCCAATTGTCACACTAATGAGTAAAATACCAGGCAATCTTACTGACAACCAGCCGCCGATGAACGATTCATTCAGCAAATCTAATGATTTTGACTCTTCCAAAAATCCAATTCAAAGTACAAATAAATTTGATTACGATAGCGCGTTAACGCCTAGTAGTAGTGAGAGTGGCGTAGACGGTGTTGGCGCCTGTGATAATGTAAGTAGCAGCAGTAGTCGCGACAATGTCGACGACACGTATTTCGATCGATTTGGGCCAATAGATGCACTAGTTTCATCAGCGAGCAATACCTCACTGAATGAGAGCACTCTTTCCTCGCGTCAACATTCCCCATTGCAACGGAAAAATGCACACAGCGCACCTACGCCAATGAGAAATGATGGTTACAAAGGTGTCAACCAATTAACAGGCAAACCAGTTAGCGATGAGATTAGCGCTTCCAGTTACTCAACATCATATATGCCCCTGCACTCGATTGCGCCAAAGAGTCCATTGAATATAGAGTCGCCGGTTAGTGATAATGGAAATGTTGGAAATTGTATAGCCTCAGCTAAAGAAACTGCAACAACGGTCAGTTTTCCGCCTATGGCAGATGCCGCAATGGCGCTGGGACCAGCAAAATCTGCAATGTTCAACAATTACCTACCACATAATTGCATGCAAGCAAAACCTAATCTCTTAACGAATTTTACGCTTGCAACTGGTGATTATGTGCTACCCGATGCATTGCCTAAGGTAGTTGTAAATAATATTCGCATTTAAAATAAAAATAAAAATAAAGTTTTTTCTTTTTCTTTTTACTATTGTACACTATCAGATTGCACCAGCACAGGAAGATAATGAAAAAGCTCAAACATCATTACAGCAACAAAAGAATAACCCTATAGTTTCATACGGTTATGTTACATCCGATTTTTGGTCACAACAAAATACATTGAAATGAATCTCAACCAATCGAGCTTTAGGAAAATATTATCGAAGCAATGCTGCCAAGAAGAAGAAGGACAAGATCAGCTACGTTTGACTCATGTAGAGTTCAATAGTAAAAAATAGATGCGTTGATAAGCATGGAAAAAAACAAAAGAGAACATCGATGTACTAAATGTTATTCTTATTTTTTTTTTTTTGAGATAATATTTAAGAGAAAAATATTCACTTTTAATGCATTAGTAAAACTAATGAAGCCAAAGGCTTGCATACGAGTTGAAAATAACTTTAATTCGATGACTTATGCGACTGATTTATTGTTTTTATATAAATTTACTTGATCGGTAACATGTATATGTATAGATGTACATACATACATACTTATGGCAACCATCAATGCAAAAGGTCCTACATTTAAATTTTACGCGAGAAGCTAAGAACGTTTAAAACTTACACAGTAAATATTTGCAGAACTGTTGCTGAACATACTAAGAAAACTCTTTTTTTTTTTATATGGCTTTGAATTTTCTTGGAGCAGTGTAGCTGATAGCCAACTAATGTAAATAATAATAATAAAAGTACGGCCTTATGCATTGATAATTGTTTTAATTTAGGTAACAAGTGTTGAATGTTGTAGGACTTTGAAATCAAGGTATTTGCAATATGAAACCAAAAAACTGGTATACTTATCAAATTAATTACACTGTAGGAATGCTAAAATGACACAAAAAATGTCGAGACACGTAAACTTAATTTTGGTTCGTAGATTACGGATCCGTACACCATTTTTTCTAGATCAGGCCGTTTTTCCAAGATATTTTCATTTTATGTTTGCCTTGCGAATGTAATAAAATTCCTACTTTAAAATGGAAAATGTTACTCATACCTCTTGTACGAGGACGGCCACATACGATATATCGAGCCCTCAACCGCCAAAAAGATGTAAGCAATATTTTTGTTTGTTTATCCATAGATTGTCAACGCTAGGAGCTTGATTTTTTGCAATAGAACAGGCTTTAATACAAATGTAATACAAATTGCATTTTTTTTTATTTTTTTTTTCTTTAAATTTTTTCCTTGTTTGTATTATTTTTTTTTTATAAAAATTACAATACTATATATTGAGAATTGCCTTATCTGGAAAAACGGTATACAGATCCATAACCTATGACCCAATATTAAGTTTACGGGTTTCGGTGTTTTTTATGTAATTTCAAAACATAAAATTTTCCCTACAGTGTTATTTGTAAAATATTTGGATACATTTGTACATATATACATACGTACATATCATTCAATGCAAAATGTCCTATGCCAGTAGATAATTTCAAGAGCTAAAAGCCCTTCCAAAAGGCCTTCTAGAGAGTCGAGAGGCTTTCCACTCTACATTCGTTTCTCCTTTCATTTTTGTATGGATGGCATAAATTGAAGACCTTCTGCTTTCGCTGCCCATAGAAGGGCTTCCAGAAGGGGTTTTGTAAGACTTATTTCAGAACGCCTTTTGGGGAGTTCTTATAAAACTGCTTCATATCAATTTTTTTTTTCAATCTAAAGTACATACATATTTAAATTTATTTGTAATATCCCAGCAAAAAATCGGTAATCGCTTTTAGTGGTAACGTGTTCTAGAAGGCATAGCGTTATAATGCCTTCGATTTTTTCCGCTTCTTTTAGGCATTGCCGGTAATGCAAAGTAGAATGTCCAACAATATTTTATTTATTTCGCTTCTTTGTTTGATTTCGGGGAATGCAAAGTAGAATGTCCTATAATATTTCTTTTTTATTTCGCTTCTTTGCTTCATTTCGGAGAATGCAAAGTAGAATGCTGCATCGTAGTCAGCTGAAAAATAGAATGAATACCCAAAAATTCTTTTTCTACCGTTACTTTCTGTGGAAATTTGTCTCGCATAAAAATCATGTTTTGCTTTGTTCAATTTGCAGCGAAGTTGAAGTCAGTCAATGAAGTGAAGTACAAGAGTGAGGAAGTACAATTTTAAGCTTAGTTAAATATGCATGTATGTACATACCGATTTTTAAGAAAATCTAAATACCTAAATAAATACATATGTATGTATAAAAGCTGATTTATAAAAATTTTAATTAATTTTAATCTTTTAAGACATTTTCTGATTTCAATTTAATATAAATAAGTATGTACTTATCTAGGCATTCTACATTAGTTTCTCTGTAAGGCATTCTTTGTTCGCTTCTCTGGATTCTGTATATCCATGCGTCCTCCCTTCGTTTGAAGGTAATGCTGCGGATAAGGGCTTACCTCCAATGACATGCCCATGTTAAAATAAGGCCTTCTTGAAGCGAAAGGGTAAGCGATTCACATCGCCTAGCTCGTTTCCACTTTCGTTTCTGTGGTAATCGTATTTTTTGCTGGGATGTAATGATATAAATTTACGCATTCGCGTTAATTGCAAATAGAAAAAGACCTTCTAGAGAGCCATGCAGGCAAGCACTTTTTTCAGCCCTTCTTGGGTAGGCCTTCAGAATGGCTAGGCTTTACTTAAGAAGGCCTACCTAAATATCTGCTGGGATTTGTTTAAGATACATACATATGGCGTTGTATTTTTTTAAATACTATGGCTTACAAATTTCGGTATGGACGCGTTTGTATGTAGCTGTGCGGAAATTGAAGGACCTATAGAAATAATAAATATTGCATTTATTGCCTTTTAAATTAATGGTGAGTGACGATATGTATGTATGTATATGTGTATTTGTGTACATTCAATGAGAATTGATTTATTTGTGCAAGTTTCTTGTGCGTGAAAACAAACAATTGAGCGATTCACAACGGTGTCGTAAGTGTCGTATTGTTGTATGTCGTAAGCTTTAAAAGCTTAAATAAATGTTTAGAGAACTTTAAACGTCAGACAACTATTTTTTAGCACTACAAAAAATCATAATATGACTTTGTTGGTACTTTGCGAACTCCCTTAATATATTTCTTAGGCGTTTAAAGTTTACGACATACAACGATACAACACTTACGACACCGTTGTGAATACCCCAAATGTATTTAAGTTCCTTACTGTTTTTGTAATATACTCAAATGCTATTCCAAACATTCACATATACGTATCTTTATACAATGTATATATACTACATACATGTATGTATATACATACTATATTGAAAAGTTCAAATTAAATACATCACATCTATAGTTTACCCTAGTATAATAAATAGTATAAGTTATACATACATATGTACATGCTTTAATTCTTAAACGATATTAACGAATTTACATATTTGGTTTTTGAGCCAGGCTAGCGCTTTTCTTGTTGCACATTTTGTATGGAACCCACACTTGTCAATATGTGGTGCCCTATAATTATGACACGTGGTGTACATATATGGTGATTATCAAAACTTTGCCACACCCACATATTGAAAAGTTTTGGCAATCTTTTTTTTTTGTTTTTTTTTTTTTTTTTGACAGTGTCACTCATTTTTTCCCGTCTGCAGCTCAAAGGAAAAATCTACTACTTTGCCGTTGCTGTAATTTTATTTCTTCAAGAAAATTTACAACAACGCAATGTACTTTTTCAAGCAACAGAAATAATAAAAATATTTATTGTGGTTTTCTTGAGAACTGCAGATGGCCCTTTATACAGTATGTACAAAGATGCATATCCAAAACTTTTCTTAAAAGTTCCGAATAAAAAGCGTGAAAGTTTGATGAAACTTAGTTGATTTTCATCAATTTTTGTAGAGAGTTGTAACTTGTGTGGTTTTTGCTATAGAATGAACTGTATTTTTATAAGAAATAATTAGAATGAAATAATAAAAAAATAAATAGTCAAAACATTTCAATATGTGAGTGTCGTATAGTTATGATAAGCACTTTAAATTTTTTTATGTGCGTCTGAGAAGCCTGTAGCGCGGTATATGGCAAATACGAAAATCTAGAAACATTCAAATGCCAAAATGTTTATGAAATATATTGTCGAGTTTCGGGTATTCCAACATTTTAGAAATATCTTTTGAAAATAAAAAAAGGATTTCCATTATATTGTTAAAATTATAAAATGCAAGCATGCGAAGTGCATCCAAAAATTAGTTACTTTTTTCATTAAAACTAAAAGCCAATTAATAAAAAAAAAAAACTATTATTCATCACACTTTTAATATTTGTAAATACACACGCCTATGAAAAATTAAACAGTACTAGTTGATTCCGAGTTGTATGTATATGTACGAGTATATGCATGTATTCGCACATATCGTTACCTGCAAAAAAGTCGGTAGATTACTCTCTAAAAAATTAAACGAATTTAAAATCAATATTCTTATTAAGTCTCTGCAAAAAATTCCTTGTGGTTTAAAGAACAAAAGGAATGCCGCATTATACTAAAGCCAGCTTCCCGACATAAGCTACTATTCCATACGGACACAGATATGTATTGCAAATTTTACATATATGCTGCTAGTATCAATGAGAAAGAGAGTAAGCTTATTATACGAAAATAGATAAAAATGCAGCAAGCTCAAATGTTTTTAGCCAAATTTGTAAATTTTGAGCATTCATTTTGCTGAAATGAAAATGGGATTATTTTAAAGGTATTTTTATAGCTATGTATATGTACTCACTTTCTTTGGGACAAGGAATGGTGTTTGGAAGATATTCTCTTATTTTAGAGCGCTTCGTAATGCGATTTCATAAAAAAATTTGAGATACCTAACTCATTCTTACCGAGATAATTCTTTTATACTTATGTTTTAAAAGGGTTTTCCTATCCAAAAGTATGCAATTATAAAATTTGCCAAATTGGGGCTATGTACCAAGCAGAAAATAAATTACCAAATGGACAACCTGTGACAACTGTGGGAGTAATCAGCTTTTTTTAAATCTAAATCGCAATCCGCCGCCGCGTTATGGCAAAATTGCAGGAATTAGACGAAACTCCAGCATTAGCTTAGATATAATGCGCGTTCTCTACAAAACTCGACAGCTCTCGCAAAATTTGCCCAAACTGTGTTGTTTCTTGAAAAAGTGTTTACAAAATTTAAGTAACTGTAATCAAGTTTCGGGCAGTGTTGTATGCATTTTAGCTTACTGCTTGAACTTACATACATGTGTACTTAAAAAAAAATTATTTTATAATTCCGTCTAATAATAAGTGATTGCTGTATGAATTACAGTTAGACGAGTAATTTGTTACAAGAAGGGTTTTAAAAATAATAAAAACAAAAAAACTAGTGATATTAAGAACGAAAAATTAAGCCAAAATTTGTCAAACAAATATACTTAAGCTCAAATAAGTCATAAAACTTAATTATTTTGCAAATACAAGCACGCACTCAAAAAAAAAAAATAAAGACAAAAAACGTATGTACACGTACATACATACACATGTTAGTTTATAAGCATTATTATTATACAAAGAATTATATATTGTGGAAAACATTATTTTAAGATCAATATTAAGTGTAAAGAAACCTGTGAATACATATACACATATGTACATACATACTTACATATGTATGTATTTACATACATTCATACATTCATGTCGTTAAAATAGGCCAATAAATTAAGTCTATCCTGTTAAAAGACTAATTAATTTTTATTATACGTAATAAGCTCTTTAATAAAAACTAAGCGGATGCAAATGTTTGTTGTTGCGAAAAACTTTGTTATTTACATAGCTAAAT